TTAAATTCCCTCACATATTCCTCTGTAAGATAAATCTCAATTTCCTCTTAAACTCACCTCTCTCTCATAAATCAGTACAGATATTTTTAGAAATATCTGAAGCAAAGTCCTCAAATCACCGCCGAGTGATTTGAAGTTCATTATTTGTGAAACTGTCTGTTATTATTTTCATATTTTGCCAAATTAATGTAAATGTTTGATGTTAAACTTTGATTCTGAAAATAAATGACTCCATTCATTTGATGGGTCAAAGATAATAACGTCTCTCGTTCGCATTCCTTTAAATTCAATGCACGGCATTACACAGTCAGAAAAATGAAGAACTCGTGAATATTGTATGCATATATATTTCATATATTTGTCATACAACAAGTGACACGTACCCACGTGACTCACTACACCGCCCGCTCCGGCTCTCCTGGTCTCACCACCCGCTCCGGCTCGCCTGGTCTCGCCGCCTGCAGACACCTCGCAGCCTGTAGACCCTTCGCCGGACTCGTCGGCTGCAGACCCCTCGCCGGACTCGTCGGCTGCAGACTCCAGCACAGAACCCGCAGCTGCAGAACCCGGCTCTGACCCCGCAGCTGCAGAACCCGTCTCTGACCCATCGCCTGCTGAACCCTTGTCCGACCGCCCGGCTGCTGAACCCCATCCTGACCCAACAGCTGCCAACGTCCCGTCTGCCCCAGCAGCAGCCAGTACCACCATATCTGGCCCCATTCCATCCTTCCCCGAACTCCGATCCCGCTCTGGACGGTCCCCGGGCCATCCGCCCGAACTCCGGTCCTGCTCTGGACGGTCCCCGGGCCGTCCGCCCGAACTCCGGTCCTGCTCTGGATGGTCCCCGGGCCGTCCGCCCGAACTCTGGCTTGCTAGGAACGATGCCCAGGGCCGTCCATAGAAATACTTGTGTTTTGATTATTTTTGCTCCCAGGTCTACCCTGTCAGTTTTTGTTTAGATTTTCTTTTTGTGCCCTCCATCCTTGTTTCCACCATCCTCCCACCCATTCTGTGTTTTCTGTGTTGTGTTCTAGGGGACGTCAAGAGCCGTCCCTTGAGAGGGGGGTTATGACAGGCTCTGTCCCTGTCTGTTTTCTTTATATTTATTTGTGTTATTTCTGTTCCTATATATCTGATTCTGTTGTCATTTTCCACTCACTCCTCAGTCTGTCTCTCCAGTCCTCAGTCTTTATCATTCACACCTGTCCCTCATCAGCCACCTGCCCAGGTGCTCTCATTACTCACTCTCCCTCTGTCTTATAAAAAGCCTTTCTCTCCTCCACTCCTCGTCCGGTCATTGTTCTGTATTCAAAGACATCTCTGTCCTCCTCTGTCCTGTCTGTTTTCGTCCACCTGATAAATCTGCTCTGCCTGTTTACTCTGATGTCCTGTTCAGTCTTGTTCTTGATCGTGTTTTGCTGCATCGACAGCGTTTTGTTTTGTTGTTTAAATAAATTATTTTTATTTAAACTCCTGCCTTGCTCGCCTGCCTGCAAATGGGTCTAAACACTGAGGATTGTGATACTCAATCCCACTGCCACGTCCTCATGGAAGAAGCGGAGTAGGGGGACTTTTGGGTTGGTATGTCCATAACTGTGGCTGAGGTCCCCGAGGTAGTGAAAAAGCTCCATGGCGGCAGGGCTCCAGGGGTGGATGAGATTCACCCTGATTTCCTTAAAGCTCTGGATGTTGTGGGGCTGTCTTGGTTGACATGCCTTTGCAACATCACATGGACATCGGAGTCAGTGCCACTGGATTGGCAGACTGAAATGGTGGTTCCCCTTTTCAGAAATGGGGACTGGAGTGTGTGTGCTCCAATTACAGGGACATCACTCTCCTTAGCCTCCCTGGTAAGGTCTATTCAGGGGTACTGGAGAAGCGAGTCCCATCGTTGGTCTAACCTCAGATCCAGGAGGAACAATGTGGGTTCTGTCCTGGCCGTGGAACACTGGACCAGCTCTTTACCCTCACAAGGGTCCTCGAAGGGTCATGAGAGCTTGCCCATCCATTCTACATTTGTTTAGTGGACATGGAGAAGGCATTTGACCGTGTTCCTCGGGGTACACTGTGGGGGTACTCCGTGAGTATGGGATTAGGAGCCTGTTGTAACATGCTGTTCTGTCCCTATAAAAGTGGTGCAAGAGTTTGGTCCGCATTGCCGGTTGTAAGTCGGACCTCTTTGGGGTGGGAATTGGACTCTGCCAGGGCTGCCCATTGTCATTGATTCTGTTCATAACTTTTATAGACAGAATTTCTCGGTGCAGCCAGCTGGCGGAGGGTTTCTGGTTCGGTGGCCTCAGGATTCCATCTCTGCTCTTTGCAGATGATGTGGTCCTGTTGGCATCATTGTGCCATGATCTGCAGCTCTCACTGGAGCAGTTTGCAGCTGAGTGTGAAGCGGCTGGGATGAAAATCAGCACCTCCAAATCTGAGGCCATGGTCCTGAACCAGAAAAGGGTGGACTGCTCTCTTCAGGTCAAGGGTGAGGTTCTGCCTCAAGTGGAGGAGTTCAAGTATCTTGGGGTTTTGGTCATGAGTGAGGGAAGAATGGACCATGAGATTGACAGACGGATTTGTAGATGAACAGATGCTGAGATATATTCATCAATTAAAACGGATTCTTTCATTTTTCTGGACTGTATATAAACGTGCATTGAATTTAATAAAATGTAACGTGAGACGTTATTTATCTTTGACCCATCAAAATGAATGTGGTCATTTATTTACAGAATCAAAGTTTAACATCAAACATTTACATTAATTTGGCAAAATGTGAAAATAACAACATAATTAATCAGCTTTACAGGTAGTGAGAAACAATACGGCGATTGTTTCACTTTTCAGCAGAACAGCAGACATCAAATCACACGGCGGTGATTGAGAACTTTGCTTCAGACATTTCTAAAAATATCTGTCAATGATTTCTACTTGATAGAAGAATTTTTAAAGATGGAAAGATGAAGTTTAGTGGGAGTGAAAGATGGATGAGGGAGAATGTGGTGTGTATGAGTGAAAAGTGTTGACAGGACGACACCCTCCATCCGACCCAGCTTTCCTCGGTACGCTCGGTAGTGGACTAGACTCATTTACCTCTCTGACGATGAATCAGCGGAAGAGGAGCTCCAGTTAACGCTACCTTTCAGCGTCTCCGTAGGATGGCAGAGATATATCCGGAGTGGTGACGGGACTTCGTCAACAACAGTTCACCTCAACGGGTGGACTTCACATGAGTGGGGTTCTTCAGAAGTTCCACTCAGAGGTGGAAGATGTTATAATCCCAAACTCGGAAGAGCCTTATCATGGCTGGACTTCTGTTCTCCCAAACGACTGGAGCTGCAAACTCTCCAGCCCGACTCCAACGGCAACTGCGACCCAACAGCAACTCACAGAACAGCCAATTCACAGAACAGCCACTTCACAGTACTGGGAGAACTAGGAAGTACCGACATTTTAAAGAGCTCTATTTCCGGTTCATTTGGGAGTTTTCTTATTGGTCAATGTCGACCACACAGGGGTGTGTTTTGTGACGTAAAAGGTTACTAGAAGTCAGAAAACAGCAAGAATGTTATGGAACAGATTGAAGATGTTTTCAGAGACAGAGAGAGAAATGTTTGGACGAGTTTGGAGAAACAGGTGCCAACTTCTCTGTTTACGTCTGAGAGGATTTAAAAACAAGACAGTTGTTCCAACACTTGTCTGCTTCGACTCCTGACCTTGGAACAAACGTACACTGCTCATTCAAAGACAGAAAATCAGAAAATGCATAATTACTCTGTAACAGACCTTAACATGAATTCTAACTTTGCATGAGGAAAAAATAATCATTGTTACTGTTTTACAGTTAATAAAATTGATTAGTTCACTGTAACATCTAAAATGTTTGAACTAAAACACTTTGATTATCAAACATTTGTAAAACAGTAATGATAATAGAAAAGAGAGTGTTCTTTCACTTGAATTTTCAAGAAAGAAAGTCTCAGGATGGGTGAACCTGTATTTCTGGATTCAAATCAATGAAATGACAGTTTCTGTCCCACAAGGTGCCTAAGGTCAAGGTTTCGACATCAGGCCTAGTCCACTACAGATTGGTGCAGCATATGCAGTATTGTGGACTCTGTACCGGTTCGTTGTGGTAAAGAGGGAGCTGAGCTGTAAGGCAAAACTCTCTGTTCACTGGTCAGTCTACATTCCTACCCTCACATATGGTCATGAATTGTGGGTAGTGACCAAAAGAATGAGATTGTGGATATAGGCGGTTGAAATTAGTTTTCTCCGCAGGATATCTGGACACTCCCTTATTGATAGGGTGAGAAGTTCAGTTATCCGGGAGAGACTCGGAGTAAAACCGCTGCTCCTCCACATCAAAAGGAGCCAGTTGAGGTGGTTCGAGCATCTGGTAAGGATGCCGCCGGACGCCTCCCTAGGGAGGTGTGGAGACACTATGTCTCTTGGTTGGGCTGGGAACGCCTTGGGGTCCACCCAGAAGAGTTGGAAGAGGTGGCTGTGGAAAGAGATGTCTGGACCTCCCTGCTCAAGCTGCTGCCCTGAGACCTGACTTTGGAACAAACAGATGATAATGGATGGATGGATGGATGGATGGCATTTAAGGAAATGAGGTCAATTTGTCCTCTAGTATTCTAAGCCTATAACAGCATAGCAATCCAGCCCTAATTATAGGATTGATCAAAAAGGAAAGTCTTAATAAAAATATATATCACTAGTTCTCAGACCTTTTTTGAGGCTTTCAGCTGATGATGTGAATGTTGAGCTGACCCCACATGGTGCAGGGAAAATTCCTGTGGTGGTTGTTTCAGTTTCAGCTGCTGCTCCTCCTGACCCTTCAGATTTTTATATGACCTTAGAAGCTTTTAAAGACAACTGGTGCTGCTCTGTGTCTCACACACACAGAACCAACGTCTATAAAGGAACCAGAAACTTGTGACAGTTTCATTCATCTGTTATTGTCCACTGGCAGCAAGGAGGAATTATCTGCTGGAATCATGGCTGTGTAAGTTCTGATTTAGAGATTGTCTTTCTGGATTTAAAACCTAACAAAAAACTAAACTTTACTTGTATTTTTTGTATTTTATTATTTTTTAAGGAAAATTCTGCCGCTGAGTCGGAAGAATCATCTCAAGGTAAAAATGAAAGTTTGATGATCCTGCTTTGCTTGATATTGAAACACACACAAAGAAACAGATTTTATTGCAGAAATTGACAGATTTCCTAACCAAAATAAAGTCTTTAGCAGAAAATAATTATTTTTTCATTCAATTTTTATTTATACAGGTTAATCATATTGAGCCGACAATGTTACTCCTATTTCACTCACTTTGGCCCGTTGGTTTGAATAAAAAAGTTTTTTAAAGTTAGAATTAATGTTTTCTTATTGGTTAAAACTATCAGCATGATATACACAGAAGGGGCTAGAGACCCCCCCCCCCCCCCACACACACACACACACGCACACACAGCAAATGTGCTTCATTGTTCATGTTGAATGGGCACATTTGAATAATTTGTAAAATGTTCTGAACCAAAAAAAACTTTATTAAGAGAACAAAACACATTCATGTCTTAATGCATCTTTATAATCTGTTTGATTGGTTTTGCCATAAAAGTGTTTGGTACATTATCAATTAATTTTGTTCTTTTTAGGACACATTTACATAAAAATATCGAAAACATTTAATGTCTTTAAGAGGAATGATCTTTTTTTTTTTAATTAATTTGCACAAAATCATTCTAGCCTGAATAAAACAGTACGTTGAAAACACCAGATCAGTTAGATTGAACTGTTTTAATTTAGTTTCTTCTCCTTTTAGAGTTTGCTGCTGCAGATAGGCAAGACAATGCTGGAGGAGGAAGCTCAGGAGGGCAAGAAGGAGAAAATGAAGTACATGGAGGAGAACTGCCCCACCCCCTCCATCCCTCAGAGCACCCAGGAGCTCCAGGTGAACCTACGACACCCAAACATCTCAAACATGGGAGGTTTCGAGTCAAAGTCTTGACATCAGTCATATAAAGTTTGACAGATTAGATTTGATCAACTTTAAAATGATCATTAAGATCACACTGAATTCACAAGATTTGTTATGTAAAGTTACTTAAAGATAACTCATTTTACTTAAACCTGAGGTTAAATATGCACCAAGACAAAGTTGATGGAGTTCTCTGTCCCACACAGCTTTTCCATGGACAATCAGCTGTTATATAGATAAATACAGATGATAACTGTCAACAACATTTACATTTAAAGACACATTAACTACTGACATGAGTCAATTACCGTGCCAATTGTTGAATGTAGGTTTTTGACTGGGTTGTGATATTGAAATGGAAACCTTTAAACTGATAAAATAACCCATGGAAATAATCTGCACATTTCTGCAGAGAGTTCAGAGTTTTCTGTGCCCCTAATAATGGAGGAAAACTGAAATCCTTAATTTTCGCATTAGAGAAAACAGGCTTTGTGGTTATCATAATTGTGATGATAAACATCCAGAGCAGATGAACTGACAGAATTCAACAACTCAGGATAAAAGGTAAGTGATGCTCATTTAAAGGGCCTGGAGAGATCTGCAAAGGAAGGAGATGGGTTAGTATGACTATGGTGTCTACACTGGTCCTGTTAGACCTCAGTGCTGCATTTGATACAGTTGATAACAATATTCTAGTTTTGAATATGATATTGGAATTACAGGAAAAGCTCTAAATTGGTTTAAATCATGTTTATCTGATAAATTCCAATTTATAAATGTAAATAATGAAACATCATCATACATCAAAGTTAGTCATGGAGTTCCTCAGGGTTCAGTGCTTGGACAAATACTCTTTTTTTTTTTTTTAACCCTCATTCTGCATCTGACATTTGGGGTCGGGGGCAGGGGCTTAGGCTGCCTGGTTGGGGTCTGTGCTGTGGGTGGGTATTGGGCCTTGGGGGGCGATTGGGGATGGGGCTGGTGCTCCGGTTCTCCCTGGATTGTTTGGATCTTTAGATCAGGGTTCCTGGTTGTGATGGCCAGCCCTTTGGCTGGGGTGGTTGCCAGGTTCTGGCGGGGGGTCGGCTGTGGTTGTGTGTGTGGTCATTGGTAGTGCGTGGCGGTGGTCGGGGGCGTGGCTTCACTTCGACAGGGTGCTGGCTGGTCGGCCTGATGTGACATTCGCGGTGGGGGGTGCTGTGTGTGTGTGGGGGTGCATGGGTGGCATGCCGGGGCCTCTCCGGGCCTGTGGTGTGGGGCTGTAGGGATGCATTGGTGTACTGGACCGGCCTTCCTCGGCTTCTGCTCCCTGCTGCTCTGGCGGCTTGCGGTCGCTGTTGGGTGGGTGGGGCGGATGGATAGCCCGACAGAGGCTCTGTTGGGCTGTCTTTGTGTGCCTGTTTATGTCTCAGGTTGGGTTTTAGGTGGTCCCCTCTCTTGGATCAGTTTTGGCCACCCATTTGGTGTGTCGTGCTCCCCTCCGGTTCGCCCCCTTGCCGCCGGTGCACTGGCGGCTCTCAGCAGCTGGGGCTGGGTGGTGGGGTGTGTGCGGGCCCGCCCTGGTGGACACCTGCGGGGGCCTGGGTGCCCTGAGTCTGTCGGGCCTCTGGTGGGGGGGTGGTATGACCTCGGGACTCGGGGCTTGGTGTCCATGGCTGGATCCACTCTGGAGGGGCGGGTTGCCGGCGGGGCCTGTGGACTCGTTGCTGCAGCCTCCTGGGGTTTCTGCATTGTGGTTGCTGGGGATCGCCCGGGGCTTCCCTTTGCTTCTCTCTCTGGGGGGTGCGGGTGTCCCTGTTGGGGGACTCCCGGAGTCCCGGGCTTGGTGGCCACTGTGTGTCTGTGGTTCCGGTCTTCCTTGTGTTACCTTCGCGTCCTGTGGGGAGGGGTTTATGGGTCCCCACATCCACTATTGAACATTTTTATGGAGAAACCTTATAGTGACAACATGCTCACACAGGTGTTTAGATTCAGGTGTTAATCAGATACACACTCAGTTGGGTTGTGGTGGCCACTAAATATATCTTGTATTACCATGTACTGTATAAAATACTTTCTAATGATGGTATAAGTATCATTATATATGTTGTTTGTTGTTGTGGTTTCTCGGTTTTGTCGGGTTTTTTTTCCTCCTTCCACAGGTCTAGAGGCAGACTTCAATGATGTTGATTTGTGTTCTCTTTATCCCTCTCTCTCTCCTCTATTCCCACTCCTTCTTTACATTTTAACCCTTCTCTCACTTTTATGCTTTGTTATCTTCTTTGTTTTTCGTCCCCGTGTCCATTACATCTGGAACAAACCCAAAGCAAATTCTAATAAAATGGAATTTATATATCAAGTGGAGCATTAAGGCCAGCCATAATGCTCTGCTTGTAAAAGTAAATCTGTTGGGCTTCACTTTGACACGCAGACGATAATTCTAAGTGTCACAATGCCGGACAGGACAAGGGGAGAAAAAAAGGACAAATACTCTTTACTTTGTATATGCTTCCATTAGATACTCTTATTAAACAACATGGGATAAATTTTCATTGTTATGCTGATGATACACAATTATATTTGTCCATTAAACCCAATCAATCAATCAGCTACTTAGACTACAAGCATGTCTTAAAGACATAAAAACCTGGATGACCCTTAATTTTCTCCTGGTGAACATAGACAAAACTGAGGTTTTGGTTTTTGGACCTGAGCACCTGAGGAATTAATTTTTCAGTCTTTCTCCCTCCTTAGATGGCATTAATCTGTCCTCCAGCTCTAATGTTAAAAATCTTGATGTTATTTTTGATCAGGATATGTCTTTTATCCCCCACATTAAAAATGTTACTAGAACTGCCTTCTTCCATCTGCGTAATATCACTAAAATTAGAAACATCTTATCTAAAAATGATGCAAAAAAACTGGTTCATGCATTTGTCACGTCTAGACTGCACAATTGCAATGGTTTATTATCTGGATGTCCAAATACTTCCTTAAAACGTCTTCAGTTGATTCAAAATGCTGCTGCCAGAGTCTTAACTGGAGTTAGTGGGAGAGATCATATTTCTCCAGTTTTAGTTTCTCTCCATTGGCTCCCTGTCAAATCCAGAATAGAATTCAAAATCCTACTTCTAACCTACAAAGCTCTCAACAACCTAGCTCCATCTTATATTACAAATCTTATGGCAGGGTCCAATGCTGACATGTTCCTGTTTTTAGTTTTATACATGTCTTGGAATCTAGCTGTTTTTTTGGTTTTGTTACCTTTTTCCTTTTAGCCATCCTATTTGTTAAAAAAAAAAAAAAAAAAAAAAAACTGTAGTATGAGTTTTTATAATTGCTTATTGTTGTTGCTGTTGTCCATTGTTGTCATCTTTCTTTGTTGAAATCAGGTCTCTCTTGTAAATGAGTCCTCGAGGCTCAATGGGATTTACCTGTATAAATAAAGGTTGATTGATTGATTGATTATTGTTCCATATTTTCCTAACAGAGCACTTCGCTCTCAGGCTGCAGGTTTACTTGTGGTTCCTAGAATTTACAAAAACAGAATGGGAGGCAGATCTTTCAGTTATCAGGCTCCTCTCTTGTGGACCCAACTTCCAATCTCTGTCCATGAGGCTGACACATTATCCAGTTTTAAAACTGGTCTTAAGACTTTCCTTTTTGATAAATCCTATAGTTAGGGTCGGCTTGGGTTTCCCGAGCTGTCCCTTAGTTATGCTGCTATAGGCTTAGACTGCTGGAGGACAAACTGACCACAACTTTTCCTCTGCTACTGTCTTTACTTACTCTGCTCAACCCGTTTTGTATTTGTAATTATTTTTTCTATCCTTAACATGTGTTTTTGTCTTTCAGATACACCTGGACCTATACCTGGATCTACCATTCTATGTTCGTCTGTCTCTCCTTCCTGTCCTCTCAACCAGCCGGTCAAAGCAGATGACCGCTTGTCCTGAGCCTGGTTCTGCTGGAGGTTTCTTCCTGTTAAAAGGGAGTTTTTCTTTCCACTGTTGCCACTGTGCTTGTTCAGGATGGGAGACTGCAACGAAGCCAAGATTCATCTTGTCTGCTGGATTCCTTAGATAGAGAACTTTACTAATTGGCTTTTATGTTTGTGAATGTTCCTGTAAAGTGCCCTGAGACAACTTTGTTGTGATTTGGCGCTATATAAATCAAGTCAGATTTATTTATAGAACACATTTAAAACAGAAACTGTTACCAAAGTAAATAAACTGAATTGAATTGAATTGAATTGAATTATGCTGCTTAGACTACTGGAGGACAAACTGACCACATTTCCTCACTATGCTATTGTCCTTACTTACTCTGCTCAACCCATTTTGTTTTTGTTATTTTTTTTGTCCTTGAGATGTGTTTTTGTCTTTCAGATACACCTGCACCTACATCTGGACCTACCATTCTGTGTTCGTTTGTCTCTACTTCCTGTCCTCTCAAACCCTGCCAGTCAAACAGATGGCCACTTGTCCTGAGCCTGGTTCTGCTGGTGGTTTCTTTCTTTTAAATGTGAGTTTTTTCTTTCCACTGTTGTCATTGTGCTTGCTCAGGATGGGAGACTGTGACAAGTGAAGATTCAATGAGGATGCTGGATTCCTTAGATAGAGAACTTTACTAATTGGCTTTTTATATATGTGAATGTTACTGAAGTGCCCTGAGACAACTTTGTTGTGAATTGGCGCTATATAAATAAACTGAAATGAACCGAATCTTATTGTTACATATTTTCCCAACATAGCACTTCGCTCTCAGACTGCAGGCTTACTCACGTTTCATACAATTTCCAAAAGCAAAATGGGAGGAAGATCTTTCAGTTATCAGGCTCCCCTCTTGTGGAACCAACTTCCAGTTTCTGTCCGTGGGGCTGACACATTGTTCAGTTTTAAGACTGGGCATAAGCTTTTCCTTTTTGATAAATCCTATTGTTAGGGCTGGCTTACTATGCTGCTGTAGACTTAGACTACTAGAGGACTAATTGACCTCATTTCCTTAAATGCCATCCATCCATTATCTTCCGCTTGTTCCGAATTCAGGTTGCGGGGGCAGCAGATTGAGCAGGGATGTACAGACATCTCTTTCCACAGCCAGCTCTTATAGCTCTTCTAGGGGGACCCCAAGGCATTCCCAAGCCAACCGAGAGACAGTTTCTCCATTGAGTCCTGCGTCTTCCTCGGGATCTCCTCTCAGTTGGACATCCCCAAAGCACCTTCCTAGGGAGGCGTCCAGGGGCATCCTTGCCAGATGCCCGAACCACCTCTATTGGCTCCTCTCGATGTAGAGGAACAGCATTTCTACTCCGAATCTCTCCCAGATAACTGAACTTCTCACCCTATCTCTAAGGGAGAGGCCAGCTACCCTGTGGAGGAAACTCATTTCAACCGCCTGTATCCGCAATCTCATTATTTCGGTCATTACCCAGAGCTCTTGACCATAGGTGATTGTAGGAACATAGACTGACCAGTAAACAGAGTGCTTTGCCTTACAGCTCAGCTCCCTCTTCACCACAATGGACTGGTACAGAGTCCGCAATACTGCAGACACTGCACCAATCCGTCTGCCAATATCACGGTCCATTCTTCCCTCACTCGTGAACAAAACCCCAAGATATTTGAACTCCTCCATTTGAGGCAGAACCTCACCCTCAACCTGAAGAGTTGAAGGTGAGGTTCCGGTTGAGGACCATGGCCTCAGATTTGGAGGCATTGATTCTCACCCCAGCTGCTTCATACTTGGCTGTGAACCGTTTCAATGAGAGCTGAAGATCATAGCACGATGTTGCCAACAGGACCACATCATTTGCAAAGAGCAGAGATAGAATATTGAGGCCACCGAACTGGAATCCCTCCGCCCGCTGTCTGCACTGAAAAATTTTGTCCATAAAAGTTATGAACAGAATTGGTAACAATGGGCAGTCCTGGCAGAGTCCAACTCCAATCCTGAAGGGGTCCAACTTACTACCGGCAATGCAAACCAAACTCTTGCACTGCTTGTATAGGGACCGAACAGCCCATAACAATAGGCCCCCAATCCCATATTCAAGGAGCACCCCCCACAGTGTACCCTGAGGAACACGGTCAAATGCCTTCTCCAAGTCCACAATACACCTGTAGACTGGATGGGCAAACTCCCATGACCCCTCGAGAACCTTAGTCAGGGCAAAGAGCTGGTTCATTGTTCCACGGCCAGGACGGAACCAGTTTTGTTCCTCCTGGATCTGAGGTTCAACCAACGATCAGACTCGCTTCTCCAGTACCCCTGAATAAACCTTACCATGGAGGCTAAGGAGGGTAATGCCCCTGTAATTGGAGCACACACTTCGGTCCCCTTTTTGAAGGGGGAACCACCACCCCAGTCTGCCAATGCAGTGGCACTGCCCTAGATGTCCACCCAATGTTGCAAAGGCATGTCAATCAAGACAGCCCCACAACATCCAGAGCCTTAAGGAAATCAAGGCGAATCTCATCAACCCCTGGAGCCCGGCTGCTGTGGAGCTTTTTAACTACCATGGCAACCTCAGCCATGGTTATGGACAGACCAACCCCAAATTCCCCCAACTCCACTTCTTCCAAGGAAGATGTGCCAGTGAGATTGAGAAGGTCCGAGAAGTATTCCTTCCAACTCCCAACAACATGACTGATTGAGGTCAACAACACTCCACTGTCACTGAACACAGTATTAGTAAAGCGCTGTTTCCCCTCCTCAGCCGCCTGATGGTTTGCCAGAATCTCCTCGGAGCCAACTGAGAGTCGTTATCCAGGGTCTCACCAAACTCCTCCCACATCCGAGCTTTTGCCTCAGCAACAGCCAAGGCTGTGGACCGCTTGGCCCTCTAGTACTCCTCATCTGCCTCCCGAGTCCCACCAGCCAACAAGGACCGATAGGACTCCATTTTCAACTTGACAGCCTCCCTAACCCAGGGTGTCCACCACCGAGTTCGAGGATGGTCACCACGAGAAGCACCGAATTTCATTTAAAGAAATTAATTTCCTTAAATTAATTGCTAAAATTTAATAGTTTTCATCTGATACCATTTCTATCTTAACATGTGATTCTTGACCTGCCATTGTGTAGCTGTTCCTCCTTCCTGTTCCTCTAAAACCCAGCAGGTCGAAGTCGATGGCCACTTGTCCCGAGCCTGGTTCTGCTAATGATTTCTTCCTCACACGGGAGTTAGTTTTTCCTTTTCACTGTTGCCTGCTTGCTCAAGATGGGAGTTCTGCGATGGAGTTAAATTCAAAGCAGTCTGTTCCTCAGATAATAAGTGTTAACTTATTATTTTTATATGCATATGCTTCTGTTCAGTGCCCTGAGATGACTTCTGTTGTGACTTGGCGCTATGTAAATAAATTAAACTGAATTGAATTGATGACTCCAGGTCATGAAAAGTCTAAGCTTATTTTAAATATTATTTTCCTTACAGGTTCCTTGTGGGCCAATTGCACAGAGAGGAAGGTGGAGGATTACAGGTACTGTATGTATGGTGGCAGAGATGGAGATGAAGAGGTAAGTAGTTGGTACTGTTGTGGTGTAGATAGACAGATTTAAGGTAGGCTGGCAGGAAAGTTGCAACAAGGGTTCCAGGATAGTATCAGCTTGTAGACACAGAGAACAGGTAAATCCAGGAAGATCTTTCAGGAATCACAGTAGGAGGGCACAAAAAAAGCTGGTTAATATAATTCTACTCCTTTAGGAAAACACAAGAAGGGTGTCACAAAAACCTGTTGGTATCCAATGTTCCAGCAGAGAAGAGAACACTTAAGCAGTCCTTTCTGTATCCCTGTATCTCATTACAGGGATTGGCCACAGCTGCTGCTCAGTGGCATCACCCTGTCACTCAGGAAGCTGCAGGAGGAAAAACTTTGGAATCCCACAGTGGTGTGAGGCAATCACTTGAAAGTTCTTGGAAAAACTTTGACGGGGATTGCCACTGTGTGGCCATTTTAAAAGTTTTATTTGACACATCGGGCTGCTGTTTAATATACCATATTATTAACAACAAAGTCCATGCTCAATAATCCAGGTATACAATCCAATATTTTTCAGTCAGGTCATCTGGACATCCTGATACATGCTCAATAATCCAGGTAGAAAAATCCCAAAAAAGTTCAACTGTCCCTCCTCCATTGCCAAGGGGGCGTACCAAAGAGACCATCTTATCACAAGCAGAACTGGTTTGTTCCACTTTGGAGTAAGCTGTTGGGGGAAGAATCAGTTTTGTTTTGTGTTTCCTTGACTGATGAAGCCTTCCGGACCGAAGGCGAAATGTTTCAGCACAAAAAAAAAAAAAAAAGAAACTGTCCAGACAACCTGACTGAAAATGTTGGATAACATATTATTGTACATTATTAGTTTATCGTATTTCTTGGATATTTTAACATATGTTTTGAGTTTTTTGAATTCAGAATGTGTTGTGCATCACTGAACGCTACCACCGTACCAAATTTCAGCTCACTATTTCTTAAGATAGGTGAATTATCATAGTTTTCCCCTTTTAGCGAAGGTGGCCATCTTGGACATTTCATTTGCATTAGGAATGTATAACAACTCACTCTCGGCTACGACAAAAAACAAATTTCAGCTCAATATCTCAAAGAATGACAGAGTTAAAGACAATTTAAAGTTTTCTGAGGCAGCTGTGGCAGCCATGTTTTGTTCACAGATCTCTTCATTTCAGGTCATGTGACCTCACTGTGGCAGTTAGAAGCTGTAAAGAGATCCGTCAGGAAAAGTTGTATTTGTTAGAAAATTACGTTGGTAATTCAAAACTCCAATAAAGGTAATAGCACACACGGTGCCGAGCCAATCGCTTTGATATAACATTTGTGGGGGTACATGTTGCGGTTCGGGCCACATTGTTGAAGGAAGAGCAAGACCCTTTTCAGGTGGATAATAAAGGCAGTCCCCAATAAAATGAATGAGGTTTTTAAGCGCATTTATCCATTTTGAGCTGAAAACAATCTTCCTTTTGCTCTAACACAGGAGCTGTGTCGACAGCTTCACAAGCAGATTGATTTGGTGGATGAGGAGCGATACGACATGGAGAGCAAAGTAAAAAAATGCAACAAGGAGGTTTGCCTTTTATTAAATATTTTTTACCTTTTTTTTTTTGCTCCTTTTCAAAAGAAACAAAAAGCAATAAAAAAATGAAGAACTACAAATGTTAGATAAATATTTTGAACCTTGAAAATAACATTTTCTGTTAATCACATTTCCCTCAGATCGACGACCTTAAGGTGAAGGTTCAAGACCTGAACGGGAGGTTCAAAAAGCCTGCCCTGAAGAGGGTGCGCATGTCAGCTGACGCCATGCTGGCCGCCCTGCTGGGCTCCAAACATAGAGTGTCCTTAGACCTCAGAGGCAACCTGAAGCAGGTCAAGAAGGAGGCCAAAGAGGAGGTGAGCGCGTCAGGTTTGATCTCAGACAGCTGAGGACCCTGAGAATGAAAGTCTCTGAAAGACACCAAAATTAAAAAAGAAAAAAATAACGTGAAAGTTCGACTGTTCGTCATTATTTATCTAAATCTGTCTGCTGTTTTATTTTTATTTTCTCAGGAGAAGGAGACAGGTGACTGGAGGAAGAACGTTGAAGATAAGTCTGGGATGTACGGCAGAAAAAAGATGTTCGAAACAGAGACCTAAAAATCCTGCTGTTCTTTGAATAAACGTGTCTAATTTGAGTCCAACTTGTTGCATGATGAAAAATGTAACCGTGTCAATTTAATTAACTAATAAAGCAGTAATCGTAAAAAGGTTCAATTCTTTTAAACGCCTGTGCATTGCGAGTGCAGTCAGTAGACCTGTTGCCTCTCAGCAAGGAGGATGTTGGATTAAATCCCAGCCGGGGGTCTTTCTGGGTGTAGTTTGCATGTTCTCTCCGTGTATTTATGGGTTTTCTCCAGGTACTCCAGTTTCCTCCCACAGACCAAAAACATGCATGTTAGACTGATTGGTAACTCTAAATTGTCTCTAGGTGAGACTGAGAGAGTGAATGGTTGTTTGTCTCATTTGTCTCTATGTGTCCCTGTGATGTACTGGAGACCTGTCCAGGGTGTCCCCCGCCTTTCATACCAAGACTGCTGGACATCACTGACCTCTGTGACCTGAAAAGTTAAAAGCGGGTAAAGATAATGGATGGATAAATGGATATTTGCATTGCATCTTAGTAAAATGAAATAGTGTGTTTAATAACAGTTATTAACAAAGCAAAAGGTTCAATAAAAAAACTTTCAAAATTTCCAACCTTCTTCTTGTTCTTCTTCTTTCAGCTTTTCCCTCCACAGCGAGTCATCCTCTTTTATCTCACTCTGTCCTCTGCATCCTCTGTCCTCACCCAAACTACCTCCATGTCCTCTCTAACTTGCAAAACTTCCAATAAAGCTTATTATATATATTAATTATGGAATAAATGTCAGATAATTATAAAAACATATGACAGTGTGCAGAAGGAGGAGCTGTGGTGTTGTTTGAGGTAATCTGGAGTTAGACTGGTACAGGACATGTATGAGGACAGGACATGTATGAGGACAACAGGACATGTATGAGGACAGCAGGACATGTATGAGGACAGGACATGTATGAGGACAGCAGGACATGTATGATGACAGGACATGTATGAGGACAGCAGGACATGTATGAGGACAGGACATGTATGATGACAGGACATGTATGAGGACAGCAGGACATGTATGAGGACATACAGGACAGGGCTTTCTCTGTTGCAGGTCCACGACTGTGGAATGAGTTGCCACTGAGTGTCCGGCAGGCTCCCACACTCTCAGTCTTTAAGTCTCGCTTGAAGACCCACTTCTATTCGCTTGCCTTTAACACGGTGTGATTTGTTTTGGTCCGGTCTGTTCTCTACTCTGTTGGCCATTTTAGTTAGCTTCTGCTGCTATTTGTATCTGTATTTCTATTTTATGTTTTCCTGTCTGCTGTGTAGTGAGTCACGTGAGGTACGTGTCACTTGTTGTATGACAAATATATGGATATATATTTATGCATACTTTTCACGAGTTCTTCATTTTTCTGACTGTAAATGCCGTGCATTGAATTTAACACAAAATGTAACGAGAGACGTTATTACCTTTGACCCATCAAATGAATGGAATCATTTATTTTCAGAATCAAAGTTTAACATCAAACATTTACATTAATTTGGCAAAATATGAAAATAATAACAGACAGTTTCACAGAAAATGAACTTCAAATCACTCGGCGGTGATTTGAGGACTTTGCTTCAGATATTTCTAAAAATATCTGTACTGATTTATGAGAGAGAAGAGTTTAAGATGAAAGGAGATTATCTTACAGAGAACTATGCGAGGGAATTTAATCTGTTTGACCAGAAGTTGCACGCTCCCATCAGGTATCTCAGCTTTGCCCACGGTACACTTGGTCGAAGAAGAAGTCTTTACCTGGTTTGACGATAGATCAGCTCAGTAAGAGTCCTTCAGACTGTTTCAGCGCCTCCGTTGAGAGCAGCTAAAAATCCTCGGAGAGTCGTGCGTGGTTAGCTCAAAACAGAATTATAATCCCAAACGTCTCTGGTTCTTCATAACTCCAAACTCTTCATAACTCTTGGACTCTTCATTGCTCTGAAGCTTTCAGAACCGGCTGCACTCTCGATCTTGGAACTCTCACATTCTCCAGAACTCTCTCAGAACCGGGAAGTTTTCACATTTTAAATGAGTTTACTTCCGGGTTTACTTAGAGCTTTCTGATTCGTGGATGGACCAGAAAGAGGAGTGGTTTTGACGTAAGGTGTTTATCAACAGTCGAGGTCAGAGAATGAAATCTGTTTTCACGTACAGAGAGATTATTGCAGAAGCAGCAGACTTCGTGGAGTCAACTCTTGGTAATCTTCTGAAAAAGTTTAAACATGACATTTCTTCTTCAGTAAACATTTAGCTGACCGAAGCCTCAACTTTCACACACTTACGACTTGACTCATTTCAGACAGAAAATCAAGGAATGCTTATTCAGGTGATTTCTTCTCTGAATGAGGGATAAAAATCATTACTTACTGTTTATGTAAAATAAAAATGAGTAGTTCTTTTCAACCTGTAAGAATTGAGTGAAACTAACACAATTGATTATCAAAACATTTGTAAAACAGTAATGATTATAGAGGATTGTCTTTTCTGCTTGATTAATTCAAGAAAGAAAGTCATCAGATGGCCCAGACTAATTCAGATCAATGAAACTAACAGTCTCTGTCCATCTGGTAGATTTGAGGTCATCTGGTTCACTACAGTTGTGCATGTTTGTGTTCTTTTGTACAGCACTTTGGTTGGCCTTGTTGCTGTTTTAAGTGCTATATAAATAAATTGGTATGGTATGGTATGGTATGGTATAGGACATGTATGAGGACAGCAGGACATGTATGATGACAGGACATGTATGAGGACAGCAGGACATGTATGAGGACAGGACATGTAGGAGGACAGCAGGACATGTATGAGGACAGGACATGTATGAGGACAGCAGGACAGTGGTGAGATGCGCTGTAGGAGTGACAGATCGCTTCAAGGTGGAGGTGGGAGTGCATCAAGGATCAGCTCTGAGCCCCTTCTTGTTTGCTCTGGTGATGGACCGACTAACAGATGAGGTCAGGCAGGAATCCTCACGCACTATGACGTTTTAGTTGTGATCTGTGGTGAGAACAGGGAACAGGCTAAAGAGAACATGGAGAGGTGGAGGTATGCACTTGAAAGAAGAGGAATGAAAGTTAAGTGTTGAATCAAAGGTCATATGAAATGTTTAGTGAGACCAGGTGGTTCGGGCATCTGATTAGGATGCCTCCATTTGAACATTTTTTGGGCATGTGCCACTGGTAAGAGGGCCTGGGGAAGAGCCAGAACTCACTGGAGGGAGTTGGGGAAGAAGGCCGTCCGGGTTTCATTCCTGGACCTGTGGCCTCCACGACATGATTATGGATAAGCAGTAGAAGATGGAGATGGAGCTGTAGATAGATTAAAAATACATAATATATATATAAAAAAAATTAAAAAGTTAATTTACTGAGTTTTTAAGAGGCCTGTTAATATACAGTATGTGTATTATCAGTGAATGACTGGGGAGTTTCCCTGCAGACATGCATCGTACTCATTTGTGAAGTTGTCTTGAAACACAGCAGTGAAGGCTACCTATGATACAGAAATGGATGGCAGGCTGTAGACTGAGGAAGTCCTCTGGATGGGGGACTAAATGTGTCTCACTTAAAGAAACTGGTCCAGATGACACAATTTAACAATTTTTGTTGTTATCTACAGGGATGATTGAGCTTACACCCTTTTTCATTTGTTCTTAGGTTTTAAACTGTCAAACATCACACTATCTGTCTGTTTTATTTGTTTTTTATTTTGTCTGTTTAAATTAGTCCATAAATAGATACCATACATCACACTTGCATTCATGGTGTGTCATTGCTTGGTTTTCAATAAAGTTTTTTGCTAGTTTTTTTTTTTCTTCGCAGGTCACGTGAGAACATGTGACGTCACCCGGACGCTGGATCCTCTTGTTGAAGAACATCTCTTCAAGAAGAGGCTGCACTTAGAGAAAAACAAACCAAAACATCAAACAACTGTAGATTCGTTTTTAACAGAACTAAAACGCCGGCGTCTCTTCCGGAAGAGCCAAAATGACGGCAGCAGTGTTTTTTGGATGCACTTTCATCGCCTTCGGCCCAGCCGTCGCGCTGTTCCTGTTTACTATCGCCCGGGAGCCGCTGAGGGTCATTTTCCTCATAGCAGGGTGAGAAACAGGTTTTAAAGAAATGTCTCGGTGTTATCGGGATGTCGGAGGTTTTATCTGTGTGGCAGAAAAGAGACAGACGCTGCAGCTCGTTCAGACATCAATGAAAACGAAAGCAGCCGAAGCGAACCTACATGCTAAACATGTTAGCTTAGCGGTACGGCTGGTAGCGTTTAATTCAAACATTTACACATTTTGTTGGTTATTATATTAAACTTTAATAAATTATGTTGAGTTCTGATTTATAAGTTTGACATCTCATCCCTGGTATTTATTAAAAAAAAAAAAAAATAAATAAAGATACTTGAGGATTGAAGGCTGTCCGATCATGGAACTACGTACTTTATGTAGCTTTTCAATGGCAAAACCAGCTTTACTATTTAAATTAATTTTTTATTTACTATTTTGACAGTTGTAAACTTTACTAAATTATTTAACAATGTCCACTTACACATGTAATTTAACGAATTATGTAAGTTTTCCCCCTCTTCTTTTTTTGACAATATACCTTTTATGAATTGTTAATCTAATTCATCACCCTCCATATTATTTAATTATTTTTTTGTTTGGACATTGATCTAATATGCTGCTTAATTCTGACATAATTTAAGCTGAACATTTCATCTGTTTTTATGCATTCAAACACAGCCGCAGTGTTGAGAGAAAAAAAGTTTGACAAAACAAAACAGACTTTATTTTGGAGACTTTCCTCATTTTCCAGTTTTGAATTTTACTTTTCAGAGAGTGTTGATTGGGAAACTGGACATTTTGATTAGAACCTGACATTTGGCTATCGCTGATACCGATACTCGATATATTGGCTGAGAATTTAGAGCTTTGTCCACCTCCAGTAATCTACATAAACAGCTACTTTGATATGGAAAGCCATTTCATTCAAAATTAAATAAATAAATAAATAGTGTTATTTAAAAATTACTAATAAATATTCCATTAAATAAATAAATGTTCCCAAGAAATAAAACATTTAAATAGAAATGTTTAGTTTTTTATCCAATTATTTATTGTTTTATTTAATAATGGAGTTTCATTTTGTGACACTTTTATTTTGTAAAGCTACTTTACATATTTCAGGGGCTTTTATTTTTTAGCCCTGTTTTTCTCTGTGGGGCGGTTCTCGTCAGGATTAGTGGATTGCATCTGTTTCCAAACTCCAATCTTTTTTGACCAATCACAGCAAAGTATTCTCCTCGCTGAGCTCTGGTCCAGCTACCTTCAAATCATGAATTAACTGTTCAGAAAGTCAGGATGACAAGCGAGCAATATGGAGGACGTTGGAGAACTCAGAGATGAAATGCAAAGATTTGCTGATGAAATTGGGCATTGTATATTTACATTATATTTACATCCTGCGTTGTAATCCAGGGTGTGATTAATTTGCAGTGTGGACACGGAGTGGAGCGGGTGCCTCTCTGCTGCAAGACTGACAGCTGTCAGAGCTTGGGGAAGTGGGAGGGGCTTACGGCCCGCTGCCGAACATGCTTTTGTCACCAAAGTCTCAAGTAACACAGAAAAAAAGTCTCTAGATTTGTCGCTAGTCGCTTAAAAAAAGTCACTAGAGGGGTCTGAAAACACACTAAATAAAGCGAGAAAATCACTAAGTTGGCAAAACTGCAGCCATGTCCGCTATTGTGCTCCAGCCTGTGCAGAAACATTGTGCTGCACATCTAAAAAAGTTCAGTCTAGTCCTCTGGACATTCAGAAAACAAAACAAACAAACCAAAAAAAAAGTAGAAACGTTTCGTCTTTCATCGAAAGACTTGTCAGTCTGAGGTGCTGTATTCAGCTCAGTCTTATAAATAGCACCTTCTCAGAGTGGATCAACCAGTTTGCTGCTGACAACCAAAACCAGCTGATCACATGATCACAGTTCACACAAGAAGATGTAAAAAATGGCAGGTTGGCTTTCTTGGACTGTGAGGTCTCAGTCTCTGATAGAGGACATTTGCAAATCGACGTGTACCGCAAACCCACCCACACAGACCAGTATTTGCAGTTTGACTCCCATCACCCTTTGGAGCACAAGTTAGGAGTCATCAGGACTCTGTACCACAGAGCAGACAGCGTCCCCACTAACTCAGGAGCCAGGCAGAAGGAGAAATCCTACACAAGACAGGCTCTAGAGCAATGTGGATATCCTAACTGGGCCTTCCTGAAAGCAGAGAAGAAACCCAAACAGGACTCCAGTCAGCCATCAGGTGAAAAGGAGGAACCCAGACCCAGACCAGTGGTCATTCCGTATGTTGAGGGAGTATCAGAGAAACTGAGACGTTTATTTTCTAAACATAACGTCCCAGTGGCTTTTAAACCCCAAAATACATTACGGCAAAGACTGGTTCATCCCAAAGATCCAGTCCCCCGGCACAAACAGAGCAATGTTGTGTATGCTGTTCAGTGTCAGGAGAAAGAAACAAACACTTTACCTGTTCATTGTTTAAACAGTCGGTCACGTATGGTGAAGGTCTAATTAGTATTGACCGCAGCTGCATTTATATTTTCTCTTGGCAGAGAAATAAAGATTTCAGGCAAGTAATACATTTCATTGTGGACTACAAAGATAATGTTACTGACACTGATATATATTGAGAGGCGCATGGCAAATGACAAGCGGGTTGGAGATTTGAAGAGAATTTATTTTATTTATTAGCTCCGGGAGTCCCCCAGAGAGAGAAGCAAAGGGAAGCCCTGGGTGACCCCCAGCCACCACAATGCAGAAACCCCAGTAGGCTGCAGCAACGAGTCCACAGGCCCTGCCGGCAACCCGCCACTTCAGAGTAGATCCGGTCATGGACACCGAGCCCTGAGGTCATAACCCCCCCCCCCCCCCAACTGAGGCCCAACAGACCCAGGGTACCCAGGCCCTGGCAGGCAGCCACCAGGGTGGGCCGGCACACACCCCACCACCCAGCTCAGATGCCGAGAGCCGCTAATGCACCGGCGGCAGGGGGGCCCACCACCGGAGGGGAGAGTGACGGGGAAGTAGACCCCACATTAAATGGGGGGCCCAATTTGATCCAAGAGAGGGGACCACCCAAAACCCATCCCAAGACATAAACAGGTACACAGAGACAGCCTGACAGAGCCTCTGTCGGGCTGTCTCTGTGCCCCACCCACCCGACAGCAACCGCAAGTCAGCCCCAGGCCGGGGGCCAGAGCAGCAGGGGGCAGCAGCTGAGGAAGGCTGGCCCAGCGCACCAAGGACCAGGCACCCCAAGAGCCCCACACCACAGGCCCGGAGAGGCCCCGGCACATCACCTACACACCACAGCACCCCCTACCGTGAATGTCACACCAGGTCGACCAGCCAGCGCCCCGTCCAAGCCAAGCCCCCGACCGCCGCCATACACCACCACCGACCACACACAACCACAGCCGACCCCCCCCCAATGCCGGAACCCGGCACCCACCCCGGCCAAAGGGCCGGCCATCACAACCAGGAGGAAAAAATAAAGAAATGGGAACCAGGAAAAAAAATAAGAAAGAAGAGAATTTATTCTTGTTGATTTGCTTTACAGATCAGTTACAATAAACTTACCATGTTCAGCAAAATATGCTACACAGTATTTAGTTACACAGTATTTAGTTACACAGTATTTAGTTACACAGTATTTAGTTGCTCCCTGCTTCAGCTGTGCTGAAAGTGAAATTTAAAGTGAACGGCCATGACTTGTGAGCTGCACACAGAAACAGGTTCCAACAGGTGCTGAATAATTAAAAATAATTTATTTAAAATAAATTTCCATGCCGATCGTGCAGCTCATCCATCAATGAGCCAACTGTGTGACATGTCCAATCTTATCTTGAAAAACCGTGACAGAGCGAGTCCACAAAAAATGAACCTCAATGTAGCGATGGACTCCTGTATCGGTCGGGCTCTAATTTGAATGTTTCAATTAAAATGAAACGCTGTAAAATAACTTTTGATTTTTAGTAGCTCAGAGTTTTAGGCCAGATGTTAGGAAACATCTGACAGTATTTGTAGACTTTACAAAGGTAGTACTGAGTTAAACCAACCAAATTTCAAAGTTTTTTATTTTCCCCAATATTTTTATTTTGTGTTACACATTTCTTAACTTGTATTTGTGTATTTGTGTATTCATCAGAGCGTTTTTCTGGTTGGTGTCCCTGCTGCTGGCCTCCCTGGTGTGGTTCATCTCAGTTCAGATCAGTAATAAGGACAGTGCGTCGCAGCAGAAAGGTCTGCTCATCTTTGGCGTGGTTCTGTCCGTCCTGCTGCAGGAGACCTTCCGCTTTGCTTACTACAAACTGCTGAAGTAAGCCACCGCCAGTGTTTGATGGTTTTACGCAGCCTTCATCTTCCCCATCTTTGCTGCTGCACTGACTTTGTCACTGATGGGATTGTTTTTACAGCATTCTGCCTCCATGTGGGGAAAACTTTATCCTTTAAAAAACTCAATTCTGCTCTCATTTTTCAAATTCTCAACATTTCTATGAACCTGAATTATCTGTCCTAGTTTTTCTCTTTTCATTTAATATGTGTATTTCTTATTCATATTCATATATGTATGTTTTCCTGCAGGAAAGCAAATGAAGGACTCCTTGCTCTAAGTCAAGAGGAAACTATGCCGATATCCGTACGACAGCTGGCCTACGGTACAGACTGCACATCACCATACCTCACATTTATACAGTGCCTTGTGAAAGTATTCGCCCCCTTGAACTTTTCAACCTTTTGCCACATTTCAGGCTTCAAACATAAAGATATAAAATTTTATTTTTTTGTGAAGAATCAACAACAAGTGGGACACAATCGTGAAGTGGAATGAAATTTATTGGATGTGTCAAACTTTTTTAACAAATAAAAAACTGAAAAGTGGGGCGTGCAATATTATTGGGCCTCTTTACTTTCAGTGCAGCAAACTCACTCCAGAAGTTCAGTGAGGATCTATGAATGATCCAATGTTGTCCCAAATGACTGATGATGATAAATAGAATCCACCTGTGTGTAATCAAGTCTCCGTATAAATGCACCTGCTCTGTGATAGTCTCAGGGTTCTGTTCAAAGGGCAGAGAGCATCATGAAGACCAAGGAACACACCAGGCAGGTCAGAGATACTGTTGTGGAGAAGTTTAAAGCCGGATTTGGATACAAAAAGATTTCCCAAGCTTTAAACATCCCAAGGAGCACTGTGCAAGCAATCATATTGAAATGGAAGGAGTATCAGACCACTGCAAATCTACCAAGACCCGGCCGTCCCTCTAAACTTTCATCTGGAACAAGGAGAAGACTGATCAGAGATGCAGCCAAGAGGCCCATGATCACTCTGGATGAACTGCAGAGATCTACAGCTGAGGTGGGAGAGTCTGTCCATAGGACAACAATCAGTCGTACACTGCACAAATCTGGCCTTTATGGAAGAGTGGCAAGAAGAAAGACATTTCTCAAAGATATCCATAAAAAGTGTTGTTTAAAGTTTGCAACAAGCACCTGGGAGACACCAAACATGTGGAAGAAGGTGCTCTGGTCACATGAAACCAAAATCCAACTGTTTGGCCACAATGCAAAACGATATGTTTGGCGTAAAAGCAACACAGCTCATCACCCTGAATACACCATCCCCACTGTCAAACATGGTGGTGGCAGCATCATGGTTTGGGCCTGCTTTTCGTCAGCAGGGACAGTGAAGATGGTCAGAATTGATGGGAAGATGGATGGGGCCAAATACAGGACCATTCTGGAAGAAAACCTGTTTGAGTCTGCAAGAGACCTGAGACTGGGACGGAGATTTATCTTCCAACAAGACAATGATCCAAAACATAAAGACACATCTACAATGGAATGGTTCACAAATAAACGTATCCAGGTGTTGGAATGGCCAAGTCAAAGTCCAGACCTGAATCCAATCGAGAATCTGTGGAAAGAGCTGAAGACTGCTGTTCACAAACGCTCTCCATCCAACCTCACTGAGCTCGAGCTGTTTTGCAGAAAGAATGGGCAAGAATTTCAGTGTCTCCATGAGCAAAACTGATAGAGACATACCCCAAGAGACTTGCAGCTGGAACTGCAGCAAGAGGCGGCGCTACAAAGTATTAACGCAAGGGGGCCGAATAATATTGCACGCCCCACTTTTCAGGTTTTTATTTGTTAAAAAAGTTTGACACATCCAATAAATTTCATTCCACTTCACGATTGTGTCCCACTTGTTGTTGATTCTTCACAAAAAATTTAAATTTTATATCTTTATGTTTGAAGCCTGAAATGTGGCCAAAGGTTGAAAAGTTCAAGGGAGCTGAATACTTTCACAAGGCACTGTAGCTCCAGTTTCAGGCAGAAGACCAATCATCATTTAATAATAAAAGATGCACATACAAAAACCTCATAATATCAAAAGATTTAGCATCATAAGTGCAAAACAGTGGAATGTATAGTCAACTGAGCCGAGCAATCCTGAGCAGATGAGTTTTGGGTCTGGCCTCGAGGAGCGGGTCAGAGGTCCTTTTGTTTGTTGGGGGGTGAGCTTCATGTGAAAGGAACAGAGAGATGGAGAGAAGTGGCAGATCTGAGGGAACAGGGCGGTGTCGCCATGTGGAGGAGGCCCTAATAAGATAAGATGAGAGAACTTTATTGATCCTGCAGGAAATTGTTGTGCCAGAGTTTCAGTACAAAGGAACATACACAAGGAATCACACAAGATATAAAAAAAATAACAGAGAATATAAAAAATACCACCAATTAATTTCTTAACAGGTGCAGACAGAAACATGAAAGAGTTTATTGTAATGCAGGATTAATTTTATTGTCCTATGTGCAGAAAGGGGAAGAGTTGAAAAGTTTGATAGCCACAGGGGGGGAGGACTTCCTGTGTTGTTCTATGGAGCACCTCAGTGTCTCAGTCTACAACTGAAGGTGCTGCAGTAAGAGTCCAGGGTGTCATGCAGGGGGTGTGACGTGTTGTTCAGGATCTGGAGCAGTTTCCTCAGCGTCCTCTGCTCAGACACCTCTGTCAGAGACTGCAGGTCCACTCCCAGAACTGAGCCAGCTCTCCTGATGAGTTTATTGAGTCTGTTGGCATCAGCTTTCTTCACCCTGCTGCCCCAGCACACCACAGTGTAGACAAAGACGCTGGAGACCACCGAGTGGTAAAACATCTGCAGCATGGTCCTGCAGATGTTAAAGGACCTGAGTCTCCTCAGAAGAAAAAGGCGACTCTGTCCTTTCTTGTAGAGGGCGTTGGTGTTAGCTGTCCAGTTCAGTTTATCGGTGGACCCCCAGGAACTTGTAGTGGTGAGTCTTTCACCCCCATGCTTCTAAGCTGCTATGAAGAGTTCCTGCTTGTGTTGTTTGAGCTCATCCAGGAAGAGAACAAGAAAAAAGGTTAAATCATGCCATCTGGATCAGCTTCTTTAAGTGAGAAACATTTTGTTCTCCATCCAGAGGACTTCTTCAGTCTATGGCCTGCCAACCAGATCTGTCCCATAAGTAGCCTTCATTGCTGTGTTTCAAGCCAACCTCCTGTTGAACACTCAGAAGACTTTTAACCTGTGCAAAACACAGCAGTGAAGGTTACCCATGGGACAGATCTGGTTGGCCGGTCGTAGACTGAGGAAGTCCTCTGGATGTGGGACGAAACATTTCTCACTTAAAGAAACTGGTCCAGATGACACGATTGAACCTTTTTGTTGTTGTTTGGGCTTCAGTGAACGTGATGATTTTCAACATGGCTGAACGTCTCCACTCGATCGCACTGATCAAACTAACGTTGTTTCAACGGTTTCCTCGTTTCTTTACGTTCAGCTTTGTAAAGCGAATCTGTGTCGTCTGTTTTACTGTTGGAGAAAATAGGCTTTCCAAACAAGCCATACTTCTTTAGTCCTCTTTAATTATTCTGTTGTGGGATTTAAATGTTACATTTTCATACAATAAAAAAATAGAAACGATCACTGCTTAATTGTATTCCTTGATAGAAACCCCGTGTCTTGTCTCGCATGTGAACGCTTTACAAAGACTTTGCCGGGTCAGTTTCTCATGGGGAGGAAGGAAATCTGCGAATGGTCTCACATCTTTCTCAACTTCTCTGTGAGTCACAGAGGTTTGCTGCAACACGCTCCATAAAACCGCAACACATTTTCTGTCAAAATAAAACCTGAGCTGGGGTGTCCTGAGCCCACCAGTCCAGCTTCTGTTGTGAAGTACCAGAGCTGCACGGGAGCTCTGCTTTTTACACAAGACATCAGAGGCTACAGCTCCAAATACCTGTCTAAAAATCACACTGACGTCCAGTAGCTGTTAAAAGTTGGTCTAAATCTGCCTGTTTCATTGAAAAAGTGTGGTCCAGTAGATTACATCAGCGCTGGGTACAAAGTGGGCTGAAGCAGTTTGATATGGCAGGAAATTCACCGTGATCGACTTAGAATGAACATTTGCAAGATGGAGCCAAACAAACAAACAGCCCACGTTTGAATAATTATCACCCTGCCTTTCTGGACATATAGCGGTGGACAGTAAGTGTTTAAGGTAAAAGGTTTCAAAGTTCAAGGGATGGACAAATGTGTTGACACATGAGAGACAGTTTTATTAAACTATTTCTGCCAGTTATTATCAGAGATGTGACATAAAAACTAAAATAATGGTTCAGTTTTCTTTTGGTTCAGCTAGACAAAAGACCAAGCTAACAGCAGACTGTCATGTTTTTGTGTGTGTCTCAGTGTCTGGCCTCGGGTTCGGCTTCATGAGTGGAGCGTTCTCTGTGGCGAACATCCTGGCTGACTCAGTTGGACCCGGGACTGTGGGGATCCATGGAGACTCGCAGCATTACTTCCTGTCTTCAGGTGTCAATTCCCTCATGCCTTACCTTTGACCGCCATGTTTCTGCTGCTTTTGCTGCAGTGCATTTTGGGTAGTGAGTTTTGTAGATCAGTTCTCAGACTTGAACTGCTTCATGTTAAATCCTTTGTTGATAAAGTTCAGTACCACAGTTCATCTTTACTTATCAAATCCAGATTATTTTCTGTTTGGAGCAGCAGGCTCTTACTCCCCAGTTTTAATACATTTTTAATAAAAAAAGTCATCTAAGTTAAGTTTAGAACTGTTGTTTTGTTGTCACTTAATGAAAAGTTCTGACTCTAAAGTGCTTTGAAACTAGAGCCCAGCCGATATAGAAATTTTGGCTATCACAGATACAGAAATTGGGAGGTGAAGACTAATGTTGATAACAGATATCTTGGCTGGAATTTGTTTTTCCTTGTCCACCCTCAAGAATCTTAAGTAAGCAGCTACTTTTAAACCTCTTTTAACACTCAAAATGTAGAAACAGTCTTTCTAACGTTCTAACATTTTTCTCATCGTAGCACTCGTAACCGTTTCTTTCCTTCTGATTTCTTCTTTCAGCCTTCATGACGATGGCCATCATCCTGCTGCACATGTTCTGGGGAGTCGTGTTCTTTGATGCCTGTGAGAAACAGCGGTGGTGGGCTGTCGCTGCTGTTGTCGTCAGTCACCTCCTTGTGTCCTGCCTGGTGAGTGAGGAAAAACTGAAAATGTTACTGAACTCAGCAGAAGTTCTGCTTGCACATGCAGTCGTCCCTCACTACGTCACGGTTCGATTTTTGCAGACTCGCTCTATCGTGGCTTTCAAAGTGACATGACACACAATGGCTGACTGATGGATAAGCCGTACGATCGGCATGGATTTTTTATTTAAAATAAATTATTTTAAATTAGTTAGCGCTAGTGGTGTAATGGTACATGTGGGTGTATTGAACCGTTTCGGTACAGCATGTTCGGTTCGGTCTACATGTACTGTTTTGGTTATTTTTTTCTCTCATTAAATGTTATTAACAAAAGATTATGCACTGCGGAACTAAAGTTCCTAAGCGTGTTTCAGCACAGCGCTATTAATTGTTGCATAGTCTTGCAGCACACGTAGCATTAGCAGCCTAGCATGTCGTTCTGGTCTCCTGTTGGGGAACATTATGTCTTTCTTGTTAAAAGACAAGTGAACAAATCCAAAGCTGTGTGTCGACGTTGTTTCACGGAGATTGGATCTGCCGCAGCAACACGTCGAACTTGTTAACGTACTTGAAATTACATCATCCGAACATGAACATCTCTTCTACTAGTTTGGTGCAAAGACCGATAACAGCAGCATTTAAACAACCTTCATCAGGTAATTCAGATCGGTCCAGAGCAATAACACAAGCTGTAGGAGCTTTTAAAGCTCTGGATCTACGTCCGAATGTTGTTGATGCGTTGACTTTAAAGTTCTTCAGCCCCACTGCCTATGACATCCCATCACATCAACACTTCAGCCAAAAAGTTGCAGCAGCACTTTATGAAAAACTAAAACTGATCATCAACAAGCCCTGGACCAGATTTAAAGCCCTGCCCTGAGATGATGAGCGAGAGATTCTACCACCTCATATAAGAAATGATGACCGTGCAAGAAGAGGTATCGTTATTTTATTATTGTGATCTAATTAACTTTTAAAATTTAAAGTTATAATCTTATTAACTCAATTTTTGAACTCTGTGTTGTTTGCAGTCTGAGGATGTCAACGAGATAGAGCTGAGTCTTCTTCTCCCATCAGATCATCTCCAGCTAAGAAGTCTGTAATGACTGAACTTGTTTACTTGGCATATTTTCTAAATAAACATTTTGAAAGTCTTTATTTTAACCTTTTTTGTACCGAAAATTAACCGAACTGAGCCCTCCTTGAAACTGAACTGAACCGAAATGTGATTTTAGCGTACTGTTACACCAGTTAGCACGAGTGTGCAGCACAAGCTGCAGGAGAAACTTCCTCCTGCAGCTGATCAGCTGATCTCCACTCTGCAGTGGAGAAGGGGGCATGTCCAAGAGCACTGGTAGGAAGCAGGGAGCTGAAATCATGACATTCTGTGCTCTTTTAGAGCATTTAGAAACATTGTTTAGAATATTGCAATAGTGTGGGGTGGACCGGTGTCTTTCTGCAGCTACTGACCTCAAACAGGTGCTTCTAATTCAGAATAATAAGTGGAGGTGGACTTTTTAGAGGAGGACTAACAGGTCTTTGAGGGCCAGAATTGTTGCTGATTGGCAGGTGTTCAAATATTTATTTGCAGCAGTAACACACAAATAAATAAATTATAAAAAAAATCATACATTGTGATTTCTGGATTATTTTTTTTTTTTTTTTAGATTATGTCTCTCACAGTGGACATGCACATAAGATGAAAATTTCAGACCCCTCCATGATTTCTAAGTGGGAGAACTTGCAAAGTGGCAGGATATTCAAATACTTATTTTCCTCAATGTATATATATATATATATTTATTTTAATATATATATATATATTATATATATATATATAATATCTATACATTATATATTTTATATATATATGTATTATATATATATATTATATATTTTATAAATATATATATAAATATATATATTTCAATATATATATTATATATTTTATATATATATTATATATATATATATAATATATATTTTATATATATATTAT